CTGCTCCCCTCTCCCTGGTGGGAAGCCCTTCAAGGACGGCGCTGGAATCCCACCAAGCCGTGGGGAATTTGCTACCTGGCCAGGTTGCTTTACCTGCTGGGGGCAAGGGCCCCCCACAAGCCTCCTGGGGCTCCTTGAACTCTCCAGATAAGGGACTTTGCAGCTGGCTGGTGTGTATAGTTCAAAACACACCGTGGGGCTGAATGCTCCCCTCCCCGTGCCTCCCTGCGCCACCCGGCAGCCAAGATAACAGCTGGTCGGAGGTGGGTGCTGGGAGCAAGGGACGGCCTCCTTAGCTTCTGCTCTGCGGGGAGTTTGTGTGGTGGCTGCAAGCGCCGCAAGCCCAAAGGCAGCGAGGGTTTAGAGCTGCCTCTCCTTTTGCCCACAGAGGAGTGGAGGAAGCAAGGTGAAGCGGATCAAATGTTGCCCAGGGACCCTGCTGCACGGGCTGCCTTGCAGGAGGGTTTTTCTGCTTGCCAGGCCGTTGCGGTGCCAAGGGGTTTGTCTGCACGCAGTGAGGCAAGGGGGGAGGCAGAAATGCCCCCGTACTGCTGACTCGATGATCTCCCTCCTCAGGACGCAGGCAAGAGCAGATGGGGGGAGCGGATGGAGCAGCAAGGCTGTTTGCAGAGAGGCAGGGCTCAGAAAGGAGAAGAAGAAGAATAGGAAGTGTTAGCAGCTCTCTGGTGGAAACTGCTTGCAAAGCTCATCAGGAGTAGGAAGCCTGCTGCAGTCCATTGGAGGGACAGGGGTTCGAAGCAAAAGAGGCCATAGCAGAAAAGCCAGATGAAGCTCCAGAAGAGCCTAAGCAGTTTCTTCCACCTTCTTTTGGGGAACCCCTCAGAGCATCTGCAAAGGAAAGGTTAGAAAGCAAAACTAAAGAGCAACAAGTCACTAGGGCAAGGCAAAGGAAAGGGAGGGCGAACTGGCTGGCTGTAACATGTGGCTTCTAGTTGTTCATTCACAACTGCCCCAGCCCTTGGGGACTGGGAGGAGGAAAAGATGTGACGTTCATTTCTAAGAAGAGCTAGAGGGAACTTCAGGGAAAAGATGACCGGTCAATCTGCTGCGGTGCCTGGGTGCCTGCACAGGGACGGGGTCCACGGGCGGGTGGGGAGGCTCCTGCCAAGGGGCCCCCAGACTGGGGCAGCGCTTTGTAGGGACTCTAGGTTTGTGGTGCCCACGCCGCTTCCCAAAAAACATTCAACCAGGGCTTTCAGCCCAGTTTTTAAGGGACCTGGCTGGTCAAGAGGGAGGGTCCTCGCATGGCTCTGTAATTGGTATGAAAACAGGAAGGAGGGTGTAGGAGTCTGGTCACTTTCTGCGGTGGAAAGAGATTGTGGTGTTGGGTCCTGGGTTTTTTTTCAGTGCGTTCGTGAGTGACCTAGAAAAGGGAATGAGCAATGAGATGACAGGGCTTCCTGAGGTGATTGGATTACTCAGGTTCATGGGGACAAGTGCCAGCTAGGAAGAGTACAGACAACCATTAGAACACCAGCAGTAGGCAGATGAAATTCAGTTTAGATAAATATCAAGTGATAGATGGGGGGGGGAGCCCCAAATGCACAAACAAGATTACACACCGAGCTGACTGCTCGCAGTGAGGCCTGGGGCTGTTTCGGATATCTTGGTGTGCATAAAAACACATTGAATAATCCTTGTGAGTGACAAAGCAGAAGCAAAGCAGGAAAGCCTTGTGCCGCTCTTCAAATTCACTGCTCATCCCCTTGCAGCCCCTGTGTGCCCCCAGCCCCAGCATCTCCAGAAGGGTCGAGGGGAGCCAGGGGAGGCTGGGAAGAAAGCAACAAGGAGGACCGAAGGCGTGGAGCTGTGCCTGGATGACTAAGTGAGCTAGAATTTCTGTTTGGAAAACGTGCTGTAGGGTGGATACAATCCAGGCCTGTAAAGCTGTGGCTGGCATGGAGAAGCCACTCGAACGTTCATCCACCCTTTGACGGTGAGGGAGTCACAGCTGAGACCCTGCGCACCGGCAGAGATGCTGCCCTCGCTTAGAGGCTCCTGAGTTAGAGGGGGAAGCAGGGATTTCACAGAAGTGAAACCCACTGCAGGCTACAAAACACAGGAACACCAAGTCCGTCCCAGCTCGGAGGCTGGGGGAGCAGTCAGGGAGTTAGTATATGCATGTGCCACTCTTACCCTTTCTTGGTATCTGCTTTTACCCTCTGATGGAGACAAGCTTTTGAGACAGACCAGCCTCTGATTTGACCCAGGGTACCTGCCCTTATTTTGGCAAGGTTTGCATTTGTCCCAGTGCCGCGGTGAGGGTGCACAATTACGCACGCTCATATGTCTTGTGAAGTACCAGCACATGTCCTCGCAGCTGGTGGCTGAAGGTGGAGGCAGGCAGGATGCTGCCCAGGAGCCTGGTTCTCTGGACCCTGGCACACCCGTGAGTGGCATGGTTAAGAGTTTAAGCATGCACATGAAATCTCAGGAAACGGGCGGTCTCAGAGCGTTTCCCATCTTCCAGCTGAGTCACGGCCATCAGGCTTGCACATAACTTGCACACCCATGCTAGGCTTGTTCCCTGCCCGCAGGTAAACCTCAATGGCCCCCAGATCAGCCTTCCTGCCGGGAGCGCTCTCGTGTTGTGCAGGGGGGGTGACCGCATGTAGGGGACAGGGTAAAGCCTGGGGAGGCATCTGGCCCTGCCCCTTCTTGGCCACCCTCGGAGGAGGTGCTGACGTTATCCCTGCAAAGTGATCCTCTACAAGCAGCAGCAGGAGGACATGGGGTGCTTGCCATCAGGCCTGACGGCAGCCCCTTGTCTAGGAACTGGAAGGGCGGTGCTATGCTTGCTGTGGCGTAAAGGGCTTTTCTTGAAAGAGCTGGTGTTTCTGGGTATAAACCCATAGCTTGCCTACCCGGTATGATGAAATTGCTCTTGAGTGGAAAGCCAAGCATGCGCTGTGCTCACCTTCAGTGAAGGCAGCAGAAGCAGGAGAAAAGGCAGTGCGTGGGAAGGAAAAGGTAGGGACATCTCTGAAGCCCAGTGACAAACAGCTGTCCTGCAGTGCAAGTTTTTCTGCAGAGGTACGGTGGTTTTGGTGATGCCCTGCCATGGGCTCCCAGGGCTTGGCTGGCAATGGGACTGCGTGTGGCCCAATACCGCAGGGGTCACTTAGCGTCTGTCAAGGCTTTTGTGCAGCATGAATGGGCTATTAAAATTGTGTCATCCTTTGTTTGTACCTGCTCAGAGGCACTAGCCTGTGGTTTGTTAAGCCTACTCATTGTTATCTTGTTCCTTCCGCTTACACATCACTTCTGAGGGGATGAGACGGGCCACTCTACGCCCAGCAACAAAATGGATGTCCTTACCCCAAGGCCCCACATCGCTCCCCCTGCCCCCTGTCCCACGGGCTGTGCAGCCATTGAGTTGGTGGCAGGGCTAAACATCAGGAGACTCCTCTGGGAGGTGGTTCGAGCTGCGCTGCACCGGTCCCATGGCTGGAGGGTGGCCTCCGTCCCCCGGTCCCTTACGGTAGGGCTGCTCTCGCCGGGTGGTAGCAGGGTTGCCACCTGTTGCTGGCATTGGTTCGTGCGACCTTTTCTGTGTGTTGTAGGGTTGTTTGTAAGAGCCAGCGGCTGGACGCGTTCCCTGCCGTAATGAGTGCTGACCCGTGCGCCCTTTGGCAGGCACCGGCTCTTTGTGGAAAAAATTAGGAGGCACTTAGGGAAGTGAGACAGAAAACAAACAGAGCAGGCAGGAGGCTGCAGCTGGGCAGCCAGGCAGCGCCCGCCGAGGAGGTCAGGCTCCTGACGCAGGGATGTGGGCGCTCTCTGGACGGAAGCAGGAGGTGGTTGAGAAAGCAGGGTGGTGGAGCAGCACGTAGCGCCCTGCCCTGGTACCCCCCGATCCCCCCCGACTCCTCTCTGCAAGCCCTGGCTCCTGCTGCCGCCTCCTCCACAGCACCCTTCCCTTCCTCCCTTCCCTGGGCACCTGGGCAGCGGGACTGGGCCGTGTGCCAGCTGGGGTACCCGACACCTCTTCTCCTCCTCCGCGGATACCGCTAGACCCACATGGTCCAGCCCCCGTGACTTGAACCGGGGCCTGATGTTCACCCCCAAGAGCAGGGGGGTGTGAAAGGAGGGGGACACGCCACCTTCAAATACGCCAAACACGGGGCTCGTCCTAGCTCTGTCCTCCCCAGGTATGTCTGTGGGGTTGGTCCTGGCTCCTGTTTCTTGGGACACTGATGTGACCTGGTGGGGGGCTGAGAGGGGGGCTGGGGGCTTGGCTGGGCAAGGGATAGCATGTCGAGGGTTTGCTGGGGACCTGCGGGGGGAGCTGGGGTTCTCCCGTCTGTTTGGGGGTGTGATCTGTTTGCTTGGGGACAAGCAGTGGCCCCAGCAGGGTTTCTGTGTGCAAGGGGGTGGCAGTTGTGCTTGCAGATCCCCCTGCTAATCCTGTGTCAGGACTTGGGGCGTCTCCTGCCCCTGGAGGTGCTGGCAGGCTGCCGGGAGGGGATTTTGGGATGTTTTCTCTGGAAGGCCAGCTGGCTTACAAGGGCAAGGCAGGAGCTGTCATGCCCGTAGCTGTTAGCGTAGGAAGGCAGGAGAGCCACGCTGCAGATGGCTCTGGCTCCATGGGGTGGCACCTGCCGGGTTGGTGGGGCTCTCGATCCATGCAGACATACCTGTCAGCCTCCTCTGGCTTTTCCAAGCAGCCAGCAGGCCCTAGGGAACCCATGCAGCCAAAGGCAACCCACCTGCTCTCCACATCCTGCTGGCTATGTTTTGGCTCCGTCATAGCTGTAGGCTCCCCAACCTGCAGGATCTCACCGGGGGAGGAGGCGAGCTGTGGCCAGAACCATGCGGGCACCTGCAACAAGGGACAGGCTCTGCTGCCTTTAACGCACGCCGGGGCTGGCAGGGACTACAGATCCCAGCATGCTGCTTTCTGCCTGCCTCCTCCCACGCCCTACCTGGCAGGGCGCAGGCAGGGATGCTGTAGCCGGCAGCAGTGCGGGTCTGGCTGAGGGGCATGCCCCGGGGGGGCCGGGGGCTCAGCGCCAGGAGCCCTGCTGCAGATGAAGCCCTGGGAAAGGTGCCGGAGCACCTCATGCTGCACCGCCCGGACTGGAAAAGGACAAGGCAGGCCTGCGGCTTCTCCAGGGCGGCTAA